GTAATGAAGATACACTTTGATTTCTAAAGACTTCCACTTCATACTGGAAATGCGAGCTTAGTTAACATGGGTCCGTAATAACCTAAAGACTTCCCTCTCACCCTAAATAATTAGTGCACTGTGTGTGTGAGCACTCTCATGCTTAAACACAGAAGACAAAACTTGTTGGAGGTGCTGCCCAGGGAGGCAGGCTGGCTATCTCCCACGAGGGCTCTGTGTACTAAATTCACCATATTCCAGGGCAGCGTTGCCATTTTTTTTAACCCACGCTCAGCCCCTGCCCCCACTGATAAATACATATAAAAATTTTACAAGCTACTCATTATCATTTGAAATAAAAAACAAAGTTAAGTATGTCAATAAGAAAATTGTGAAAGAGTGGGACAAAGAGTCACACATATAGTCTCCTGACCATTGTGCCGTGGGGCCCCAATCCCTGCTATGTCCTTGGTAGTCATAGGTCAGCTGGCTTCGGAGCCTGATGTTTTGAAGCAGGGTGTCCCTCGGGGCAGACTCACATTACCAAAGCTCACAAGACTGATGTATAATACCAGAATTTCACTAGTTCACAGTGAGCAATGTAAATGTCACATAGGTCCAGGGACCCACACTGATACTACCAGTACATGCTCTCTGTGTTGGCAGTCCTCCACGGAAAGCTCAACCAAAATTAGAAAGTTACTGGTGAACGTGGAATCAGGACAAGCAGCATGAGATGAATCCAATATCTAATGGCATCAGGCTGGGCCAGCCTGATTCATCCATTTCCTGAGTCAGGATGATCTTGCCAATAAAGCCACACACCACTGGCTACAGTGCCTGTATCCTCCCCTCATGATAAAAACGTCCCGGCTAAGGAGACAGCAATACTCCAAGGTTTTGGCTCTGGCTTCTCCTGGACAGTGTTGGGATGGACACTGCCAATTTTGCCTTTGTGACTCTTTTTTTCTATATGGTAGAATCTCCACAGTTGACCAGCTCTCTACATTGGACCACCTCTTGAAGTTGACCTACTTTTCTTAGACCAGACACGTACGGCATGTATCCATCAGTACAGTAGGCTGGGTTCCTTATGTTGACCACCTCCGTATGTTGACCAGTTTGTTACAGTGCCTCGGGTGGTCACCTTACAGAGGTTCTACTGTATTTCCTTGGGTAACCAATCTTTTCTGTAGATTTTTTCATAGGCTGATCAAGTTAGAAGGAACTCTTGCAGTTCTTAAAGCCATGCTAACAAGTAACGGAGACTCATTTTCAGGGCGATCTTGTAAGTTCTTGCGGGGGTTGACCCACTGTGTCATTCTCATGAACAGTAATTTAGGTGTCTGTGTAGGTACACAATTATCTATCCACACGTTTGCAAACTTCCGTTTGTATGCCTGTATTACTAGAGCTTAATCCTTTGAGTGACGAAGCTATCCCACATGGCTGTATTTTTTCCTTTGTTTTTTAACTGAACTGTAGAATGACACAGTTTCAAACTAAAGGCATAAAATTTAATGAAGATGGTAAATATCTGAAAACACTGCCAGCTCCTGAAAAGAGGTAATTTGCCATGAAAAGTATTCAAACTGTAAGCTATGACAGGCATCCTTTATCTCAGGGTTAACAGCCTCTATGCATGACACACGGATTCCAAACAATGCAAACTTTTATATCTGAGATATGTAAATTACGTGAGAAGCCTGATTTAGAAGAAGTACTTGAAAGCCCTTTTAGAAAATGTCTATCCGATTTGATCACCCTGTAACTCAGAGTGGAAAGCATGAGTTACGTCCCCTGAGAAGATCAATAATACTCAGCAGAGAACAAGCTTTCTATACAGTTGCTGAAGGAAGTTTTGGCTGTGGGTCAAAGGGGATTGCAGCTCCCCCTTAGCTCTGGTCTCAAACAGACCCACTGTCATCTCAGGCTACTGTGATGTATTCATTCCCGATGGCCAACTTGCTTACTGAAGCTGTGTCCACTTAGAAAGGGTGGAATTACACTTTCCCACAATACTTTTTTCCCCCTCAAATGCTTTTACACCGTAGAAGGCTTTTAAACCATTCAGTCTGGGAAACTGAGATGGCCTTTTGTATCATTTACCTCCTGGTAACACCTAATGGAAATCTAGAGGGACCCCATTCCCCAAAAGAATTAACAGAATCCAGAAATTACTATCTGCAGACAATAGTATGTTTGTTCACTTTCAGAGGAGTTCAAGCCCACGGTCTCCTGACTGTTCAGCGTCTTCTCAATGGTAGCACTGCCAGGGAGCCCAGAACAGTCCCTTTTGGGTAGAACTCTATCCCCAGTGCCCGGGGCCTCAAAAGCCAATTTGCCAATGCCTTGAGGTACTGGGGAAGTGTGAATTTATTTTATTCTTATCAGAGATCACTGCAAAGAATGGAAAGGTTCCCTTTCCTAATAAAATATAATAATAAATTAACTATTTTAAATTGCACACAAACTTTGTGGACACCCTGTATATAATACGTACATAGTAAATGCTTAAACCCCCCCCCCCCAAAGGCTTAAACAGGATGCGTGTGAAAGAAAATATTCATTATCAGTGGTTGCCTTCCTTGGACTTCAACTCTTAGGGAAGTCTCTGTGAGGGACAATAATATCTGTCATTCAGCAACCAGACTGGGTCCCTCCCCAGCCTTTCTCTTATAACAACTGAGTCTTCTTCTTTTTATTTATTTATTCTTTTTTTTTTTTTGTAGAGACAGAGTCTCATTCTATGACCCTCAGTAGAGTGCCTTGGCGTCACACAGCTCACAGCAACCTCCAACTCCTGGGCTTAGGCGATTCTCTTGCCTCAGTCTCCCTAGTAGCTGGGACTAGAGGCATCTACCACAATGGCAGGCTATTTTTTTTGTTTGTTTCAGTCCGTATATGGGGCCTGTGCCCTACCCACTGAGCCACAGGTGCCACCCACCACTAAGTCTTCTTTTGTTTTTATGGCTCAGGCTGGGTTTGAGCTCGCCACCTCAGGCCTATGGGGCCAGCGCCCTACCCTTTTGAGCCACAGGTGCCGCCCAACTGAGTCTTCTTAATCTGGCCTTTTACTGTCTCCTTTCTTTGCAGGATACAACTTCCTCAAATCTTCAGATGGTTTCGTTCTCATATCTCTATCCTTCAGGTTAGCTGAGTTTCTAGCTTTTCTTAGCATCCTGTTATTCTTCTCACTTTGACTTACCTTGTTCTTTAGGAATCAATGATGCCCTGTGGGCTCCAATACCATGTCCCCTTCCCAGGGACCAAACATGTACTGAATACCTATATTGTGCAGGGTGCTGGTTATACAGTTTGATTGATTAAAAACCAACTTCAAAAAATTCTTTATTAAGAAAATACTTTATCAAGAAATTGAGAATAATTTAATTTGGTCTCTTTACCTACAAATCTGTTTGTCCCTCAAACAACCACTAGAAAGATATTTCCAAAGTGGTAGAGAACATACATAATAAAAGGGTGACCCTTTTGAAATTTGAGACAAAACACCAGTATATTATATATATATATATATAATATATATATAGTAAGTTACAGGAAGAGTTGAAAACAATCTACTAAGAAACTATTAGGAAGTAAATGAAATATTTAAACCTACTGCAAGTATTTATGGCTTGCTATTTTATGACAACCCTACGAGGCAGATGGTCAAGATCGATTCTTTTTGAGGTTGTTACCTTCATTTATTCCATTATGACATGCCTTTTCCTCTTAATCTGTGGAGACTCACCTTTCAGCGGTACACTGCTTTCTCTCCTAACCACGCTCCTTTGAGTGTTAGTTCAAGTAAATTAAAAAAAGAGTTGTGTTCGTAAGTTTATGCCTATATTTCTAGGCTCTTCTCTTACTGTTTATTACAGATACCTCTGAATTTGGGGGGGGTCTTTGTTATAGAAAGTGTAATGGAATTTTACAGAATTACAGAATTTTTTAGACTTAACCACTTCTTTCAGATTCTTGTCTTACTGCTAACAGCTCAAAGCTGTCATGTGCAGCTGAAGGTTGAGGGGGGAGGAAAGAGGATGCCTTGGGGAATAACTCAAATGTCCGGTGCTGACACTCAGACTCTGGGTGATGGTTTTTAGGGCAAGTTGAACATCCCTCCTCCAAAATCCAAAATGTGCCAAAAATCTAGAAGTTTTTGAACACAGACACAAATGGAAAATTTCATACCTGACATAGTGTAACAGGGCACAGTGAAAATGTGGTCAAAGGTTTTTTTTTTTGAGACAGAGCCTCAAGCTGTCCCCCCTGGGTAGAGTGCTGTGGCATCACAGCTCACAGCAACCTCCAACTCCTGGGCTCAAGCAAGTTTCCTGCTTCAGCCTCCCAAGTAGCTGGGACCACAGGCGCCAGCCACAACGCCTGGCTATTTTTTGGTTGCAGCTGTTATTGTTGTTTGGCGTGCCCAGGCTGGATTCGAACTCGCCACCTTAGGTGTATGTGGCTGGCACCTTAGCCACTTGAGCCATAGGCACCGAGCCCAAAAGGTTTTTTCATGCACAAAATTATTAAAAACATTGGATGAAGTAAGCTTCAGGTCAGATGTATAAAGTGTATATGAGACATACACAAATCTCATGTTTAGACTTGGGTGCCCTCCCTGGTATCACATGCACCTGTAAACACAGCAGAACCTCTGTGAGTTGCCCACCAAGGGACTGTAACAAACTGTCACACAGAGGTGGTCAACGTAAGGAACTAGGTCTACTATACTGATATGTACATGTGGCACTTGTCCAATCTACGAAAATCGGTCAACTTAAGGAGATGGTCAGCAGTGGAGACTCCACTGTAATATCTAAAAAAATCTGTAATCTGAGATACTTCTAGTTCCAAGCATCTCTGGAGGAAATACTCAACCTGTACACATTCTCCCACTTGTTTCTGTAGGATTGCTGGGGCTCAAAAGGTGTTTAAAAACTTTCACGTTGAAAGGAAGAAGGAAACCCAAGCCAGTGCCCCCCTCCCCACCCCCCAAAGGAGGATTACTTTACCTGGTTGGTAGAAATCAGGCGACAGCTCCCGGGCCACGGCTCTCGCAATGTCACACTCCTGGCGAGCGGCCAGAGCGGCCTGGTCTGCGGCGTCCGCTTTTGCTCTGGCGTGCGCAGTCCTACGTGGGGCACAAAAGGGCGAGTCAGCAACGGTAGCATCTTGTTAATTGCACACGGACAAGCAAATTGTCATGTGGGAGAAGAAATGTTAATTATGATTGTGGCCTGCCATCTGCAATAGCAGGTTTCAGAGCCATAGTACTGTCAGATTGCAGTGAAAATCCCATAGATAAATCTTCCTGTACATTGCCTCAGTTCTTCTCCCACGGAAATGAAAACTATAAGCAAGGTCTCTGTAGCTTGATGCTAAGTCTGGTTTTCAAAACTTACTGGATCAAATCTGCTGTTGATTTGGGGGGTATTTTCCCCCAAACTAGGCAGAGCAGAATTAGAGCACAGGAACTAACACAGTGTTCTTAAGTTTATGACTAGGGGACAATCAATGTAAGAATTTGGTTAACACAGATCTGCTCAGTGATGCAGGTACAGGGGTTCTTTGAAGGAAAAAAAATTAGCAAAACGTTATTGGTAGTGTTTCTTATTTCCCTGGTGTAAACATTCCCACCATGGCTAACTTTGGACTATCAGTATGTCGTCACTGGATGTATAGTTGGGCAGAAATGTGCATACCCGGCTCTCCCCAGCCGGTGAAGCAGACCTGGGTCTGCTCTGAGAATGTGCTTAGCAGGGTTACACCACACAGTCCTTTAGTTGGTTTTGAGTCTGCTTCTTGTAGGAACCAGAAAAGGAGAGAACAGGGCAGAGCTAGCAAGGACAAAATGGATCTTTCAATCTTCCATCTCTCGCTGGCCCAAACTCACTCATGGAAACCTCTTTTCTATTTTTCTAGAGAACTAGGGCTATGGAGAAGGGGGTGGGGTAAAGAACAGGGCTTGTTACGGCCAGACGGGAATGAACAGCTACCAGCCTGAGAACAGAGAACTCCGGGTCATCTACTTCCAAAGGGGGAAGACTCTGTCCACTTAGTCTTCAGATGATGATGGGCACCTACTTCTTAGTAAACTTTCTATTATATTAGCACTAGGCAGGGCTTTAGGTAACCAGGAGTGAAAGCTTACTGAAAATGAAAAAGAGGTGCTTAGTATATTTCAGAGAAGGCAGGAGAGAAAAAAAGTTGGGAAAGGGCACCACGCTTTTCCTGCCCTTCCGGGAGGACACAGAGGCACTGGAGGAGGCTGGTGGGCACAACTCCCTGGCCTGGACTGTAGGGAATGCTGCGGGGGGGGGGGGGGGGTCTAGCAAGTACTTCTGTGGCTGCCCGGCACTTGGGGCTTCTCTGCGGCGGGGGGGGGGGGGAGGGGGGAGGTCTGACCTGAGACCAGGGGCCAAATGGCAGGAGGCCCCTTCTCAGTACTTTCTCCAACCACCTCCTCTCATCCCGTGCTGAGGGCCCCTTCCACTCCTACTTAGGACCGAGCTGAGCCTGGAGGCTTGATACATGTAAACATTGGGAAGATCGGAATTTTTTATTTTTGGTCATCCGCTATAATCCCCCAAGCGTAGAACGCGACCTGGCACATAGTATTTATCGAGAGGCCACTTTGTGAATAAAGGAATGAATGATGCGTGCTTAGGAACAGCTGGGTAGTTACTTAGAAATAAATGAAACTAAAGTACAGAGACAGTGAAAAGATGAGTTGCCAGGGGTTCAGGGTGCAATTGGGAAAGAGGTGAATGGGTGCAACAGAGGCACATTCGGGCGGTGTGTGTGTGTGTGTGAGAAATGTTCTGTATGGTACTGCTGCGGAGATCCAGGACATCATACTTTTGTCCAAACTGATAGAATATATGACACGGAATGAACCGACATGAACTATAGGCTTGAATACTAACATCTTAGCATGGGTGCGCTGATTGTCCCGGATGCACCCACAAGTACAAGATGTCAATAACGTGTGCGTCTGTGAGGTGGGGAGAGGAGGGGCGTGGGAACTCTGTACTTCCATAAAACGTCTCTAAAAAAATAAAGTCAATGAAATAAGAATGAGTGGGTCAACTTCCAGTCGTCAAAGCTGTTATTTCTAAATCACAGAGGACCTTTTAGTTTACCTTTGTGCACAGAGTGTCATGAAATAACAGAGCGGAAAGAAAATCAAGAGGGTAAGAACACATTCCCAAGTAAGAGGCTGCAGGGCCAACACCAGCACGGGCACCAGCACCGACCTGTGACAGGTGATGCTTTAGTCCCGAGTTGTGCCTGACAATTACAGAGGCCTCTGTTACTGTTCTTTTACTTTCTCAGAACATCAACTTTTTTTTTTCTCAAAATGATTTTCCATTTTGTCTGCTGTTGTCAGCGAGAGCCTAATTATGTCTAGATATCACAGTTAATGAAGCCGTGCGGTTATAGCTATGCTGCCTTATAACATACTGTGCTAGACCTTCAATGATAAATTTACAAAACTCTGGTAAAAACAACATATCTTAATACAATGGCAACGCACCACCGTATAGTCAAAGAAAATGGTAGTATCACCACCACTTTTTACAACATGCTAAACTGGAGAACCGGGGAATACAGGTTAACCTCCTGCAAATACATTTTTGAAGCAGAGTTATCAGTAAAGCCTCTCCTGCAACTTCAGCACTTAACCGTTTGTTTTTTCACTTGATCTTTCCTGTGAGACTGAACGGGGAGGGAGGACCTTTCTATGTAGCCCAGCTCCTTGGGTTAGTGCTATTGCACAGCTGGCGAGGTGTGTCAAAACTAAATTTAAACCTGAATCCACAGATCTGCTCCAAAGCTTTTGGTAGCTCTGAACTGAAAACAAGTGGGAGAGAACAGGCACCCATTGTGAGTTTGGTGTTAACACCAGCTGATGTGGCCAGCACCACTGGCATGTCTAGATTTCCCCCCAGAAAGAATCTGGTCTTGCCTCTGGCTCACGTGAGTGAATTCATGTGATCAAATCCCAGGCTCAGTTCCAGAGCAACACACGACTCCTTTAATCAGCCGACTGGTAAGACACGCTGTTGTTCCTGGGTTGGGGGTGGGAGGGGGTTCAGGCTGGACAGTCTGGGCAGATCAGCTAAAGCCACTCAGAGCGGAGGCCCGGCCGCTGCAGCTGGCCACATGGAAAATGTGCACACCCCAAAGGGACATATGTGCCCAAGAAGCAGTTCATTTATTCCCAAGACTGCTGACATTTCCAAGTCTTTAGACCCTCAAGATTCTCCAAATGCCATTATCACATAAGCTTTCTCCCATCATATGCAGGAAAAGTAACTGAAAATCAAGTTATGTTAAGCATCAGCTGTTGACTTTCTTTTAGGGCTCTATTTTTTGTTGTTGTTGTTGTTACAAAGAAATGAAAGTTTTAACTTGTGGAGAGTTCCAGTGTATGTATGGGTGAAGACATCACAGCAAGGCTAAGCCATGGACACGGATAGCTGGTTAAGCTCGCTGAGCAGCTCAGTGACTCCCTCCTGGACACAAGCTCTGCAAAGGTCAACTGTGACAAGCGGCAACAGTAAATGTGGAATTCTGTACGCCAGGCATTGCCTGTACTTAAGACCTTAATGACAAATTACTTTCCTATTCAGCAATTTCATGAGCATCTGAGTTTTCCTTAATTACTGAAACAGTGTTTTATGAGCTCTCAAGTAACCTTAGAAGAAAATAATCTAGTTTCTTCTATTTATCTTTAACATATAAGGCTTTTACAAAAGGCATATTCAACCACACATTCAACAGGCTCAGCACAAGCTCCTCCTCTAAGGCACACGCAGATCCTGAGTTTCTGTCCCAACTCTGACGTTCGATCTTTTCTATACTATTAGCTGACACAGCTGTTAAAGATTTTAATCTAGAATGGACAGTTGATTTTGCTAACGGTAAAGCACTATTTCTACTTTTTTATACATTCTCTTTCTGATAATAAAGTCCTTCAAAATTATGCTGATTTTGATGTCTTTTAAAATTTGTGACATGCTAGGTCAAAGTTAAGTTTACTGATCTGCCTCTTAAAAGTTGATGGCAGTGATAATCAATTTGGTTCAGGAGCTGTACCTGTGATTTGCTTTGAAATCTAAGAACATTATTGGAAAAACTTAAAAATGAGAGCAGTTAGCACATAAAAAGCCAAATCTTGGTCAATGGCAACACCATTCTTGCAGTTGCTCAAGCCAAAACCCCTTGAGTCACCCTTGACACCTCCTGTTCTCACACGCTGAGTCCACCATCACAAATCCAATTGGCACTACCTGCAAAACATGTGCCCATCCAACAATTTCTTGCTCCTATCATCTTGGCAGGGTTACTACAAAGACAGAATTGACCTCCCTGCTTTAATTTCCCTTCTGGCTCTCTTGAAAATGCCTGATAACCAAAAATTCTCTTCTGAGTTTTAACATCATAGGTGCAATACCAAATATTTGAGCTGTTCGTCTTCCTTTTGGACTGTGACATTATTCATTTATGAAAGACTTAAGATGATAGAAAACCATTTATCTTCTTACAAACAGTTGTAGTCTTTTTAAAGAAGAAATCAGTCTATTAAGCAAGGAATTCTCTCCATAGAGATAAGAATCAGCTGGCTCCACGATGTCAGTTAAAAATCAGAGGCTAGATTTCTAAGAAACAGGTCTTTCAACCGTTAAGACCAACTCGCAAGGCTCAGCACGTGCTCTTGCTGCTGCTGAAGTATACATGGCCCCCAAGACGTCTGTCCTGACTTCTAACCTTCAGTCTTAACATGTCTGTTATCTGTGGCTGATAAAGAGTTTGCTCTAGAGGGAACAATGATTCCCCTAAAGCTCCATCCTCAGGAAACTCTGGAAAGACAACTTCTGTGAACCCAATGTTACCATCTATTACCACTACATTTCTTTTTGCGGTTTTTGGCTGGGGCTGGATTTGAACCTGCCACCTCTGGTATATGGGGCCAGCACCCCACTCCTTTGAGCCACAGGTTCCTCCCATCTATTACTTAAGTGCTGATTTTCTCTATAAATGATTTTCTCCATAAACTTAAAAAAAAAAATACAGGACTTGAATAGTGAACTTTAAGAAGGAATTCTTAGTTAGATTCTGGTTTTA